GCAAATATTACATCCCAGGGAATTGTGTGCAGAAAAATTCAAAATGATGTGCAGCAAATTCAAATTATGCAAAATTAATTCCCTTTTTTTTTTTTTTTACAAATTAAATATAACACTATTTGAACCTTCTTCAGAAATATATGCAGGTACTTGTGTGTGGGGTGGGGTGTGGTTGGGGGGGAGTGTCATATGTGTGTATGTGAGGGTTTGTGAAGGTGCGGGTGGGTGTGGGGGCAGGGAGGTTGTGAAGGGCAATGGAGATGTGGGGGTATGCGTGGGGTTTGTGGGTGGGTGTGGATATGGGAGTGTGTGGGGTTTGTGGGGGAGTGTGGGTTTCCTCCATGCACAGCCCCCCAAGTGCACACCCCCTGCTTCCACATGCCCCCTGGGCACAGCCTCCGCCACCACATGTCCCCCTAACACAGCCCCTGCCACCAGCAGGCTCTCTCTGTGCTCCTGGCAGCAGCAGACAGAGTCTCCAGAGGTGCATGGCTCTGTTGAATCCTGAGGCCTGTATATGGTGGCATGGAGTCAGGCAAGTTTGGAATGCTGGTGGGCCTTCAAGCGAGATTGAGCTAGCTCCATGCCAGTATATGGGGCTTGCGGCACTGCAGGTGGGAACCATGGACAGTCCCAGGCACACAACTTTGCTTGCCCTGGCCAGGAGTGCCCCAAAGGCCCACCACCAGCAGGCACTCCTGGCCAGGGCAAGCAGAGTTGCAGCCAGCGGCAGGGGCTTTGCACCATGGGGTGAGGAGCATATGTTACAGGGGCTCACGCTCATCCACAAACCCCGCACATCCCCACGGCCACCCCCATCTCCTGCAGGCAGGAGTACCCCTCCCTGCTTACCAGCTACACCCCCAGGAATTATGTGATATTATGCAATTATGCACAGTCATATGTTTTGCATGCAAAATTATGCAGGTGCATAATTGCATAATTCCCTGGGATGTAAAACATAGTGCCTGCTATAGGGGAACATTACCTGGGGTAAGGGGAAGCCTTGTTATGGAGGCAGGGAGCCAGTGTTTATGTTTGGACTCAGAGGGGATTTAGTTTGTTAGCCACAAGGCTTACTCCTTGGTTATAGTTTAAATCAATTGCTTTGGGTAGAGCTGAAAGGGGAGTGTGAGGAGGCTACAGCAGGGTGCTAGAGGGATGCATTGTGGGCTAACCCACAGTGGGGTGACAAGGGCACACCAGTGTTTTGAAGCTTGCTAAAGCCTTTGGTTCAGGACACTGTAAGCTTAGGCCTCGGGGACAGTCTAAAACCTAGAGGCAGTCTGAGAGGGGAGCTGAAGCCTGGTACAAGTAGAAACCAGATTGGGCCAGGGGGGTGGGTATGACACCCAAAAGGGGTGAAGCCAGGCCAAGGGGGCTATGCACACTCAAAGGACAGACATGGCCAGGGGGTCCAACACCAAGAAGCATGTACCAAGATCAGGGGGCCTGTGCACAGAAGGGCAGACCAGGGCCAGGGGCCCAGCAGTTTAGAGAAAGGCAGAGACAGGACCAGGGGCACAGCAACACAGAAGCCACATCCAACAGAGTGGATCTGAGCTAAGAGGCCCAGCACATGAGAAGGGACAGAAGTCAAATGGGCTGAGGTCCGACCGAGGGAAACTGATTGGACAGGCGACATCCACGAGGCTTGGGCATGGCTAAAAGGAAGATGAGGTCATGAGCAATTAGACCATAGCCCAAGAGTGGATGAGATCTTGCTTAGGGGTCCCTAGGGCAGCCTCCCTTTTACAAGCACATATTTATACCAAGGCTTGGCAGGTAAGTAGAAGGGGAGGATGCTTAAAGGATAGAGGAAGATGGGACCACCAGGTGGCATCACTATCACCTATCCCTGAGGCCCCTTTGTTACAAATGGATATCCAGCAAATACATTCTTAGGAACTGGCTATACACAAAGTTTTGTATATGTGGTGGACTTACCGATAACAGCTCGGTGCACTGGGCTCGGGAAAATCTTCATTGTGATTGGTGAAAATGTTCCACCAACCAGACGACGGCCAAGGAGGGGCTTTCCCCACCCCTACACAGGGTGAGACAGAGGGCCTGGCCTTGATTGAGGACTGCACTTTGCAGGTCCAACAGCACTCCAGGGGCGGAGCCCCCAGAGGGAATAAAAGAGCTGGGGAAGAGCTGCCGAGTGGGTGGATGCTGCTGCCTTCAAGAGCCCCTGTGGATGCCTTGTGGCGGATGGCTTCAACCCCAGTCAGTGTGCAGTGGAGGGCACAGGGCGAGACCCTGGGAAACCCTGTGTAGGACAGCTTGGGTCTCCAGCCACTTGGTGCACACAGCACAGTGCACGGAGCCAGACCCTGGGAGCAAGAGGCTTGGATCTGCAACCCCTGGCATGCGGCCAGGGCTCCCAGTGCACAGCACAGAGCCAGACCCTAGGAGCAAGAGGCCCAGGTCTGCAACCCCTGGCGTGCTGTCATGGCTCCGGGTGTATGGAGCCAGCGAGACTCTGGGAGCCATCCGCAGTAGCTCAGGTTTCCATCTCCTGGCATGTGGCAAGGAATCCAGTGTAGGAGACGCTGCACGGAGGGTCTAGGACCTGACCAAGGCCCGGAGTCACGTAAGGGTCTCCAACCTTGAGCAAAAGCCAAAGTCCCCATGAGCACACGATGGTGCTCAAGGCTCTGAACAGGGCGTGGCCCAGGAGGAGCCAGAGGCTCCACAGGCTTCTCCAAATGAGAGCCACGCGCTTGAGGGGATGAGGAACCCCATCTGGGCATCAGATTCATGAGTTGCTGGGGAATTGGGTTCCCACAGGGGAGGGGAAGCCCTTTTAGAAAGGGGTTCCTGGAGAGGAGGTCCAGAAAAGGTCCCTTTTGAGTTTGTGGGATGCCTAGGGGACTTGGTGTGAGGCCAAAGGGGCAACAACTTCACAGGTCACTCGAGCATAATCCAGGCCCCAGGAATGTGGCGGGGCCTTAGGGACCCTTTTAATAGTTTAAAGTTACTTCTATTGTGCCTTTATAATTTATGATATTGTGCCTTATATTTTATAATATTGTATGCTATGTTTTATGATATGTGAATTGTGTGCTCCTGTATCAGTAAGAAAACTAACATTAGAGTGTAAAATCTATATTGAGATTCTGCTGTGACCCTTCCCCATTACTTACCTGGGTTTACTTATAACTTTCCTGAACCCCGGTTATGGTCATCTATTGTAGAGAAACAAGATTATTAGTCCTATATTATCTATAAATATCTGTATCAGTTATATATTAACAGTTATTTTCTAAAGTTCCCTGTAAATTGTAATACATTTATAGATACTTAAGTTATCCCTTGTCCTGGCCTGACTCTATAGAGATTAGAGGGAAGTGGATGGTATTTTGCAGATCCCTTCCACAGCACTTCTGCTTAGCTATCTATCCCTTCTATTTAGAGAGGGGAGCACATACTTGGGTGAAACCAGGTTACATATAATGCTAACAAATGGAAAAAAAGGAAAACTGTTTTGTTCTGAAATCTTTTCCAGCTATAGTAATTTAAATGTTACTTATAGCATCAGCACTAATATCCTTTTGGACTGAGTCTGATTTTTTACCCTGCAGTTTTCCTTCATCCACAGGCCTTTAAAATCTGAAGGCAGTTGATAAAGTGTTACAAAAAAACCCCAAAATGACGTTTCTGGCTATACGTATATCTTGTTATTCAAGAGGGGGCAGGTTGCATGTGACAGGGGTTCATTAGGAGAGTTTTACCTAATGGCAGCTTATGGAACAGGCACTGTGGCTGCTGTAATAAGAAGTAAAATCTGGAGCAGGGCTAAATTAAGTATTAGACTTGATAGGAACTGCAGCGATCAAAGATCACTGGGTTTGTAATGACTTCTAAGAGTCTCCTTTACTCTGCGTCCAGTTCAACTTCACCCCAAGGACATTGAAAATGAGGCATAGTAAGAAAGACCAAGCCCTAATCATCTATCCAAAGGAGTGCTAGTACCGGGTGAAAGGCATTTCTGGTCTCAGTCTTTCAGGTAGTCTCCAGTCCACATTGCTTCTCCAGGGTTCTCCATCCCACCCCTGCCAATACAATCCCAAATGTGCCTGGGATAATAAACATAGGCATTTTCATTTTCTTTCCCACACACCTGAATTTGCACATCAGTTCATTTCCCAGCATTTTTACTGGAAATGTATATGTGAAGAATGTGAGAAATTTTTGAGCCCCTACGTCAACTGATGGGAACTGTTCACATCTCTACTGCTATGTGGACTGGGCACAGTATAAACTACAGCTGCCCTAAATTGTCTTTAAGAGCCATTATGAGATACAACTCTCGTGCCAGCTCTGGAACAGTGTGCACCCCCTGCAGAACCAAGAAGGAGGTTCCCTACATTAAGGGAGATTTCTGCCTGTCCGAAAGCTTTGCTAGCACCAACTGTGCTGTACAGAATCTGTCCTGTAGTGGCTCTTTGTCACATCAGTGCCCGAATGCCATTATAGTGTCCAGTGACTGTGGTGAGAGGTACTTTAAAAATGTAAGTAGACTGGGAGAACAGCTTTTCTGTTTTTGTTGCCATTGCAACCAGACAGATATAACAAGAGATATTTGTACTACAAGGCTGGTGCAATTTACCAGCAATGTAGAATGAGTCTTGGCCAGGTGCCTGTCTCTTTGGTCCAGGCATGAGGAAAGAATTAAAATTCATCCTTTAAGTCCCAGATATTTATTTTTCTCTCTGTAAATCATGACACTGAGCTTGAGAACCTCAGGGACAGCAAGGGGGATTTTCTAAATCCCTGATGCATAGCAAATCTAACCTTGTGTGTTGAAAGCAGCAGCAGACGCGGCAGGTGTGCTCCCAGGTGAGGGCGCCTGGGGGGCTGAAGCATGTGAGCAGGGCTCCCATTGAGAAAAGAAACCAAAGCAAAGCAGGAAGCAAATACAAAAAATATTCTGGCAGTTCATGTCATCACAGGCTGTTTAAAGTAACAGGCTGACCAGGCTGGTTAATCATTACTAAGAGCTAGAACATGCAGAGAGATTCACTACTAACTACGCAACAGGAACTCATTTGAGAGAAGAAAAGAATCATCAGAAACAGCAAAACTACCAAAGAATCAATGCTTAGATTTTCTCATTATTTTTACTTTTTTTGTGTGGGGGACACAAGGATCAATGATTTTTTGTTCCTCCAAGATTTCAGACTATACACTGTTCATACGTGTTTTCTTGATTGGACGAGGAAGTGAAAAATTCCCCCATATGAGCTATTGCACTTTAATGCTCAGGTTTCACTCCTGACTCGGGAGTTGCCTTATAATGAGCTCTCAGTGGAGCTTTGGAAAGAGAAGTTTCCAGCTGCAGTAAGATTTATTTCATTTTGTGCCAAGAGGGAAAAGAAATTCTACAAAGAACTAAAATGTTGATGATGCAGACATTTGCTTAAGAGTGTTGCATCTGGGAGACGAAAAAAAAGAATAAGGAGGAGAGAGAAGGCGGCTCAAAGAAAGAGTATCAGGATGGGGAACTTTTGCCAGAAACACTGCCTGTGTTTTGTGTCTTGTGCTCCTTGGCTATTCCAAGACAGAGACTGTGAACAGAGTGAGAAACACAAGACTGGCCAAGTCATCCACAATCCAGCCTTGGTAGGGAATGACTTGCAGCCACGCAGCCTCTCCCAGGGAACATGGAATATGCCTGAGCCAGACAACAAATATAAAACAAAGCCTCTTCCTCCTCTGCCTTGTCCAAAGCAGAAGAACTGCAGGTTTGTGGCGTTGTTTGACTACCAGGCCCGCACTGAGGAGGATCTGAGCTTCTGTGCCGGGGATAAGCTCGAGGTACTGGATTCATCCCAAGAGGGTTGGTGGTATGCTAGGCTTCTCCTGGCAAGTGAGTCAACACGAACTGGTCGCAAGCTCCAAGGCTACATCCCTGCCAATTATGTAGCTGCTGATGAAAGCATTGAGGCTGAGCCGTAAGTAGCACACACATTTTATGTGCATGACTATGATCTTTTTGACTTAAAAGAGTGACTTGTGATTGAAAAGTTCCTTACCTAACAAGCTGTCTCCCTGACTTCCATGGTGCAATAAGTAGTAGAACTAGTCAACATGAGTAAGGAAATCATAACCTGGTCCTAAACAAATAATTAGTTAAGACAAAATATCCACAGGGTTTGTTATAATCTATGTTACTCTCATCTCCGAAATGCTTTAGTCATCTGCTTTAAAATATGTGGGAGTACTGGGTAGATCATGCCTGGTAGAGATAGTTGCTATGATTATTTTTGTATACTGCTACACACACACACACACACACGCACGCACACGTGTATGCATGTGCTGGGCAAGTATGCTGGGCACTTTTTGAAGAGTCAGACTAGGTCTCTGTTCCAAAGAGCTTGCAGTCTAAATAACTGTAACTGTATTAAATTAGTTAAAGGCTTAGCAAGCTATAAAACTGCCACAAAATACAATGATGAGTGTGTCTCTAAAGCAATGATTCTCAACCAGTGTGCTGCAGCACCTTGGGATGCCTCAAGGTTCTTTCAAGGGTGCTGCGGGGTGCCGTGCAATGTGAGCATTGTTAGATGTACAAACATAATTCACAAGATAAACCCTCAGCTTTCAAGCAGGCATCTATAATGTTAAAACAGTCTGACCTATTGCGGACTTTTCAGAGTTCTTTGCATCACAAGCTTTATTATTTTTCTGTAGTCAAAAAACAACTGAAAACTAAGAACTGGCATTTTCTGAGATGTGCCTTGCATTTAATGAAAGGTGCTAAAGTCGAACGAGGTAGGGAACCGTACTCTAAAAGGGCTGAGATCTGTTTTTATTTATGGTTTGTGAGTATTGCATCCTTTTCTTTGGAATATTTGAAGTTAACCTGTAGCATTATAAAAGGAAGATGATGGATGAAGCAAAGTAACATACACTGGATTTGTTAATGTCTGATATAATTTGGCAAAGCATCCAAATATTTGGCCGCTTCTGCAAGACTTCTCTGCACTAACTTCATCCTTCTTTTTGTTCCCGCCCATCTATGGCAATGTGACAAAATTAAGCTTTCAGTCATGGTTTCTTGGACTCTATCTTTGGTGCCTGGGATTCCAAAGCAACCTGTTGTCCAAATACTAACCAGATTCAGGACTGTTTAGCATCCAAGTCATCTTAGATCAATTTGGGTGCATTCATCTGGGAGTAAGCATATAAAATTGATCATTTAGAAATCCATTGAGAATAGGCTATTTCACTAGTGGCATGAGCCTTGGTAGGACATATTATTATGTGTATATTGAGGTTAGCTACATTTGATCTTTAGCCAAAAGATCCATTTATTAACCAAGAACAGATGCATGTTTCTGCTAAAATGATTACCACAGGAATAGACAGCAACACAATATCATTAAGCTTCAGAGATAACATTGATTAGGGACAAGTAATATGCCTTATTTTACTATCTGCAGAAGTATATTTCAGTCTTTAGAGGAACGATGTTAGACTTATTGAGATAAATCCTTTGTCTCTGAAATATGTCCCTGACATTCCTGATGCTTTGGCTGATACTTAAGACTCAGTAATTCTACCTTACACTAGCTGAGGAGTCTTCGTGCTGGGAACCAATTTTGGGTAGCTTGAAGTTTTGTTTGTACTCTGGAGACCTTAATTTGCAGGCTCTGTCTAGTGCATTGCATTTGTACACTGAGTCAGGCAGCACTTCTTTCATTCATATTCAAAAGACTATTTTTCTTGAACCACAAAAAATTAATTTGCTGAACAGCATTTCTCTGAAGCCACCAGAGAAATGCTGATGTGCTCCAATTCTGACCCCTGCTCTCTTTCAAGAACTGGTTTCCTTGCAAGTTTTCCAGGGTTTCTGTTTCTTGTCACAGTTAGAAATACTGTCAAAGCAACTTCTCTAGGACTTAGCAGAATCTTATTTACCCTACTCTCTCTTATCTTTCTAAATGTTCAAGATTTGATATGAGGTTATCTCCCACAGCGTGCATAATTTGCGCTGAACAGTCCTTCTTTTCTCCTTGTTGGAGTATCACATTTTTTTCTCTTTCCTTTTTTTTTTTAACCTCTCTCTTTTTTTTCAACAGAGGGAATATTAAATTTTGCCATCTCTGTTTTTGCTTCGGAATCTTGAAGGGGAGCTTCTTCAGCTCGCAACTGAAGGGTCCTTTTTTCAAGAAGTTTCCTTCAAGGAGTTTGACTTAGGAAGAAATCTAAGTTATTGAGAATAGAAAAAATGTTTAGTTACCTTGTTTTTATTACTTTTTGATTTACCTGTCATAAGCCCTCTAGGTTCTACCTCCAGTGTTATAGGAATGGACATTTCCATGCCCATGTGCTGTATGGTGTATGGATCCATGGTGATCTTCTAAAATTTATCATCAGACTTCATTTTTGTTGATTACAATATATAGTTGTTTTACCCGTTTTTTTCCCCCCAAAACATTGAAATTATCTATCTGTACTATATACAGTGAACAGTATCTATCTGTCTGATAAAGTCAATCTACATGTTTATGTTCTTTTCGTTCCGGCATAAGACAGCACTGGGTATCATCTGTCATGACAGGTTTCTTGTTCAAATATCACGAGATTCTATATTTTTTTCCTTCCACTTTGTAACTGGAGGCATTAAAAATAGACTTTCTGACACAGGGGGCATCAGTTAGACCAATGATTCTCAGTTGATTGCTGTGGCACCCTGGGGTGCCTTTAGATCCTTTTAAGGATGTCATGATGCCTGGGCCCTGTGGGAGGCAATGCAATTTCTGCTAAAATGCCCACTGACCAGCACCCCACAGACAAATGGTACCCACAGCTGTTCCCCAGCAGGCCCCATGGTGGCCACCCCATGCTCTGACTGGTGTACTCTGCTGCAGGCTGGTGAGTGGAGCCAGGCCTTACAGCCCAGCTCAGACCCCTACTCCCACTCCTCTTATGCTTCTAGGGTTGGAAGGAGGGGCAGGTGGCTGCAGTCACTGGCCTGGGAGATCCCAGAGGTTTATTCTCTGGGGTAGACGGCTGCCCTGGTTCCCCTGTAGCTGAGGCAGGGGAACCAGGGCAGCACCCCTGGGCACTGATTTGTTGTGGGGCAAAGGAAAAACAGCAGCTGCTGCTGAGGTCACATAGCTGCATTGGCAGTATGGTATCAGTTGGAAGTTGCTGCTGCCTCTGCGTTGCAGCTGCCCTAGGTGACTGGCTGCCTTGTTACACCTCTGGGGTTGGCTTTTGGGTTTCCCAACTTGTTTGGCTCCAGACAAAACAGTTCATTTGTTCTAGCCAAGGTAAAACTACAAAGGGAATTACCTCTCTTTGGCCTCTATGACAGGTTACATAGATTGCTCAATTAACTAGTTAATCACACAATAAATTTAAATGTACAAAATAAGCATCACATGATAAAAATATCTATCCATCTATAAAAAGAGCTAACCAGCTGTAAAGTTAGTGCTTGAAAATATGTAACAGCTCCATAGTTATCTATCAAGCTTTAATTTGAATGTGTAGCAGGGCCTTTTAATTCAATCTAGGTAAGTCTGTGGTAATGTTGAGCAGGTAGGGAAAACAATGGGAGAAAATGGCAGAGATTAAATGGTTCTCCCTAACCATGAATTTTTCGCACCTTTCTTTATGCCTTCATAACAAAAATGGATCTGTTTGGATTCTTGTGTTTGGAAAGTCCAAACAGAGGCACCACTAAGGATAACTTTGCTCATCTGTGCTTCTCTCTTAGCAGAAGGCTCCTTCTTGGGATGAAGGTAACTATGTATGGAGGGCAGAGTCTAGATTATCACACAAACATGTCAAAGGATGCATTTTACTAGGTGGCCAAAATCTATTTTTGAGCAGTTGGAATTCTGCCACCCTTATTCATGTTGAGTGGCATCTTGCGCTGTAATTAGTCCCTAAGGCATTCAAAAAAGCCTGAGGCTGAATCAGTTCAGTCTTTGCAGGTTAGTCTAAACTGCACAGATTAAATTGAAACAGAAGTGAACAGACATTTACCTTTGATTCAGAAAATGCAGCCACATGTCTGCAGTGACTCAGGCCAGAAGCTGGGGGGGGCGGGGGGTTGAAGGGGTGATGCTAGAGTACAGCTCTCTGGCTGTGTGTTCACTTCCTCTTCCTGCTACCCCTGAGGTCTCTGGGATTTGTAGTCCAGAATTACAGGAGAAGGATTCTGCAAGTTTGGTTTGCTGGTGGCTTCCCTTTCCTGCTTCCAGTTGCCTCTGCATTTTGTAGTCCAGTTGCAGCCAGTAGTAAGTTTGAGTAGGGGAAAAGGTATTTAGCCCCCCTCCCTGGCCCTAGACCCTAGCCAGGGTTTGCCTGGGGCTGGGGGGTGGGGGAGGGAGGGTAGTTTCTGTAGACTTGGCTGCATCCCACAATTGTCAGCCAACCCTCACTGCTCCAGCTAGAGAGCAGAGGGGCGAGGCCAGCCCTGCTTGCTGGAGCAGACAGCCCAGCCCAGGGCTGGAAAGCATGCTGGGGGACTGTGATTTAACTTGAACCAGGAAGGGGGCTGAGACAGAAGTTTCATAAATTGGTTTCACCCAAATCAGTTAAATCTGATGCTACATTCAACCAAGTTTGTCTTAAACTAGTTTCAGCCATTTTGAAACTGGATTATGTGCACTGAGCTTCTGTTCTGTTACAGGTTTAAACCAGTTTCTGATCACTTAAACTGCTTTATGTGTGACTTCTGTCCCTATCCGAACAAATCAGTGCTGGTCAACATAAAGAAAGTGCCAGAGAGAAAAGATAGTTATTACTCTTTAGCCAGCTGTGTTGTGATGGGGGAGGGCAGGGCAGGGCAGGCTCTGCCCTGCCACAAACATTAAATATTGTATGGATCACTTAAAGACTAAAATAATGGGGTGCTATATGAGTATTCAAGATAGAGAGAATAAGGTCCTTAATTTTTATGTTGATTAGTAAATAACTTCTTCCTTGCTGA